TTTCTGTGTCCTTTACCTTACCTTTGCCGTGTTCACAGGGATTTTGTGTCCTATACCTTACCTTTGCTGTGTTCACAGGGTTTCTGTGTTCTTACCGTGTTCACAGGGTTTTTGTGTTCTTTGCTTTGCCTTTGCCTTGTTCGCATGGTTTATGTGATCTACCGACCAACCGGCTGCACTTGGATTTGGTGTTGCCACCGACAGACTGAAATGATTAACTTCGATGTGGCCTTTGCTCCACGTGTGGCCCACCATGTAGTGGTCCCACGTGAGGGGGCATGTTGAAGTGGATCGACATTCTATTAAGAAGAAGCTTGATGCGGAAATATTAATAACGACAGTCTCTCTTTTGGCAAGTTGGTCATTGATGATATCTATGCACCAACTTGAGGGGGAGTGTTAGCAATAGTCAATTAATGAGGATTAGTTTGGCACCTATAATGGTTGGTAGCCTACAATGTTTAGTCAATTAATGTGTTAATTATGTAGTCAATTAATGTTTGGCACCTACTATGTTTGGCACCTACAATATTTGGGGGGCTTGACTAGGTTGGTTGCCTAACTAGTTTGGTTGCCTAATTAGTTTGGTTGCCTAATTAGTTTGGTTGCCTAATTAGTTTGGTTGCCTAATTAGTTTGGTTGCCTAATTAGTTTGGTTGCCTAATTAGTTTGGTTGCCTAATTAGTTTGGTTGCCTAATTAGTTTGGTTGCCTAATTAGTTTGGTTGCCTAATTAGTTTGGTTGCCTAATTAGTTTGGTTGCCTAATTAGTTTGGTTGCCTAATTAGTTTGGTTGCCTAATTAGTTTGGTTGCCTTATTAAATTTCCTCTCTTTTATTTGTATGGGCAATAAGTCCCTTGGCCACGATGGCCTAATTTGTTTCCTATGGGTAGTACGTTCCTTGATCACCATGATCTCTTTCCTCCGTGAGCCTCGTCATCGCTCACCGAGCCATTTCCTTTCCTCCGCGAGCCTCGTCACCGCTCGTTGAGCCTTTTCCTACTCGGCTTTGTCTCTGTCATGCCGAGCTACACTACTGCCGCTGTTCCCTTTGCATAGCCACTCTGGTGTTTGCATCTCTCTCAAGCTCTAACGAGCTCTCTTATGTTTTTCTTTGACTTGTCTGCTGGTCTCTGTCTTCTTTGCTGCTCTCTTGAGCTGCCTTTCTCCTTCTCCTTTTTTTTTTAGCAATCTCTCTATTTTGTTCTCTTTCATTTCTGGTGTCTGTATACCTATGAAACCACTTCTCTTTATTCTTCCTTTTTTTGGAGCCACTTCTTTTCTTCCGCTCCTTTTTTTTCTAAAACTTGCATGCTCCATTTCCCATGTTTTTCTCTCTTTTACTACCTAGCCCACGTGATGGTTGTCCCTCTTTAATTATTTTTTCTTATCCTCTCCTCTTCCAATTTGCTCTTCTTTTCTTTATTGATTTTATTTGCTTTTGCCAACTTGTTGGCCCAAGGGTGTTTTATTTTCTTGTCTTATTCCTATCTTGCCTTTTTTTTTTCCTTTCCAATTTGACTATTTTTCTCTTTCACGCCAATAACTTGGCTTCCTTTTCCCTTTATTTTATTGGACTTGTTTTGCACCATATGCCTCTTCCGTTTC